AACCAGCTTCCCCAGCAGTACACCACGCTCCCACTGGAAAGGGGACCACGTTTTTCTACTCTGAACTTAGGGCTTCCACCTTCTGCCTTAAGCCCCACTCTCACCAGCAGAGCTCAGCAGTGAAATGTGGTGCTCCCACAGCCACGCTGAGCACGTGCTTGGGGCCAGGCTCTGCACGGACCAAACCTGCCCTGTTAAACCTCAGGTTTTTCACTATAGGAGTTTCATATCGACTCCAGCTGCCTTCTTACAAAGCCCTGGACAGAAGAAACAAGTCATCACAGCAGGGCAGGGATGAGCACACAGGTTTTGAGTCTCCCACTGAGAACTTACCTCTGCCCCTCCTCCTCTTCATCATCATCCTCCTGTGCATGAACAAGGTCTCGAAACGACGTTACTCTGTGGTCACTGCAAGAGGCAGGCAGAGAAGCGCATCACCCTCATGACACAGCAAAACCATACAAGCAGAACCTCTGGGTTGATGCTGTTCTGCTTGAGGCTGTGATTCATTACTCGATGAAATGACAGGTCAGTGCTGCCCTGTGTGTAACCACGTGGGGACCTGAGCTCCTGCACCTGCCAATGACACCAACAGCAATCAAGAGGAGGTGGGTGCACTGGAGGGGGGCTGCACCAGCAGAAGATGGGAGTCCTCAGTCTGTTCACATACTGCATTTTGCCACCTCTTCCAACCTGCACAGGGCCCTCCTCCAGCCCCCACGCCCTTCCCTTCTGGTTGTTTCTGCTGAGACCATTATCCGTGACCCAAACTGATGCAGAGCTCCCCTGCAACAGGGGCTTTGTTCACCAGAGCCTGAACCAAGAGCACCTCTTCTTCAAAATAGAGTCAGTAACTCCTCCTCTGTCAACCCAGGCAGTGTTTCCCTGCTGCTCAGGGACTTGGCAAGGCAAAACTAACTTCTTCTTGTAAAATGGATCAGGTGTCACCCAACATTAGAATAACTTTCCTGTGCAGGCACAACCTGCTCGAATGAAAGTGTCACCAACCAACTGCCTTTGACCTCAAAAGACAAATCGTTACCTGAGCAATGAGGCAAGCTGAGGAGCTGATCTTTGGATTAGTTGTGCAATAACCTCTGTGCTTGCATTTATAAATACTGGGGTTTTCACAATGCCCAGGGAGCCACGAGGTGAAGCAGGTCTAACCACGGAGCTGTTTTTCCTGAAGACTAACACACGTCAGGGCTTCAGATACAGCTGAGGCTTTATGTGAATCCCAGACTTGTCTGTGTTGAAAAGAGCTTAAAGCTCCTCCAGCTCCAACCCCTGCCACGGGCAGGGACACCTTCCACTGGAGCAGGGTGCTCCAAGCCCCTGTATCCAACCTGGCCACCATCCACCAGTACAGCGCACTCACCACCGCAGGATGAGCCAGCTCTCACTGTCACACAATGAAGAGCTCAGCGTCGGAGCTCCCTCCTCACCTGGCTGAAGAGCCTCTGGATATGGAGCTGGCTGTTGGCTGGGGAAGGGTCAGGATGTCCTCATCCCCCCCGTCCTCATAGAAACTGGCGAGTGCAATCTGGAAAGGAACACACAGGTGGGAGCAGCCATTCCCCAACAGCAGCAAAGCCTCACACAAACACCACAGCTGCAGTCCCTGTCCCTCTGGACCTCCTAAGGTGCATCACAGCAAAGATGCTCCATGTCATCCCCCGCTTTGGGGGCCTCGCAAAGAGGAGCCCTTGCCAGCTCCTAACGCTCGGCTTTGCTGCAGGAGGGCACTCGCTGGTACAGGTAGGTCAGAGCAACCTCGCTCCTTCGGGGCTGTTTCCACAGGGCTCAGGCTAAAAGCACTGCTCTGCAACAGCTGCTCCTGCCACAGCCACGAGCGGGCTCCGACTCCAACCCAGCCGAACGGCTCGGGCGGAGCGCAGGCAGGAGCAGGCCAGCCCGGTTCTCTTTGCCCCCGGCCCTGAGGGGAGCTGGCACTGCCGCTACCCGGGCAAACCCACCCCGGGCTCCTCACCCCGCGCTACCCAGCAGCGACGTTCGAAGTAAGGACCGAACCAGGCCGGGCTTCGGCCCCAACCGGCACCGCCTGAGCACGACCCTCGCAGCCCTGCGGCCGCAAGGGGAACCTTGAGCCCGGGGCCTGGAGCGGGGCCCCGAGCGCCGGCCCAGCGCTGCTCCCCCCCCCCCCCACCACCACCACCACCGCCGCCACGGCCCCGGGCCGCGCCGCTCGCTCCCGGCTCGGGGGCTCGGCGCTACCTGCAGGTCCCAGCCGGCGGACTCGAGGAAGAACCGCGCCCGCCCCTCCTCGACCCCGGTCACAGCCACGAACTCCCTCAACGCCTCCTCCCTGTCCGCCATCTTGCCGCGGTGCAGCGCCCAAACACCGCCGGCAGCCGCGCAGACACCGCCCGGCCCCGCCGGGTGCGCCGCTAAAGCCGGCCCGGGAGGAAACGGCACCGCGAGCACAGCGGCCCCTGGCGGCGCGGGGGTGCGATGCGCCGAGCACCGGGAGGGCAGAGCCGAGCACCGGGGAGGGCAGCGCCGAGCACCGGGGAGGGCAGAGCCGAGCACCGGGGAGGGCAGAGCCGAGCACCGGGGAGGGCAGCGCCGAGCACCGGGGAGGGCAGCGCCGAGCACCGGGAGGGCAGCGCGGAGCAGCCCGGGACAGCCTGTACATCCCAGCCCCTTTATTTCCAGGTACGGACTGACGGCAGCCGAGCGCCAGGAGCCGCTCCCGGCACCGAGACCCGAGGATCAAGGGGCTGACATGGAGCGGGATGGGGCAGCAGCCCCGGGGTGTCCTTCTTCACGCCCTCCCGTGCCGGAAGAAGAAGAAGAGGAGGCCGCCGAGCAGCCCTTTCTCCAACAGGATGCCAAGCCACAAGCCGGGGCTGGACAGGAGGCTCATATCTGCATTAGGGACAAGGGATGTGAGCAGCAGGGCCCCGAAGACGGGCACCCCACAGCCTCCGCCGGGACCTGCAGCTCTCACGCACCGTTATCAGTCTGGGACCGGTCGCTCAGCCCGCCCTTGGCCGGGGCAGCGATCCGCAGGGTGCTCGTCCCGCTGATGGGGCCCTGGGCGTCGTGCACCACGCGGCAGGTGAACACGGACCCGTTCTTCTCCTCCGTCGCTTGCACCTCCACCAGGCTGCGCAGCTCGAACAAGCCCCGCGGGGTCTCCGCCGGCGGGGGGGCGCTCCCCGCGCTCATCTCCGTCCCGTTCTCCAGCCAGGCGACGGCCACGTCTCCCGGGTAAAACCCCTTCACGAGGCACGTCAAGTTCACCGTCTTGTTCAGCTCCACGGGGCTCGGCGGCTCAGCCACCACCTGCACGCTGGGGGGCACTGGGGAGAGAGGCAGCGCCTGGTGCGGGCCATCCCCGGCCCCGCTGCCCGCAGCGCGCCCCGTGCCCCGCGGCAGCCGCACAGCGCAGCGCGGCCCCCCCAGCCCTCACCTCGCAGGGCTCGGCTGAGCTGGAAGCTGCTCCGCAGCGGGGCCGGCAGCGTGCGGTGATGAACCTCGCACTGCAGCTGCGAGCGGACGTCGCCCTCCTGCAGCGTCACCGACACGGTGCTGGACGCGTCGTAGGAGGATTTCGTCTGCCCGGGGGTGACCTGGGGCTGCTGAGCCGAGATCTGGGCCCCGTCCTTCAGCCACTTCACAGCGATTTCTCTGGGGAAGAACCCTCCGGCCGTGCAGGTGAAAGGCACCGATTGCCCCGGCCCTGCTCTGCTCTCTGGCCCGGACACGACCGGCCTGCTGGGTTTGGCTGCGGGAGAACAGAAGCAACGGGGCCGTCAGACCGGGCTCTGCCAGCCCTGCCCGGCCCCGGGGCTCCCATGGGGACATGGGTATGGCCAGGGGTGACCCACGGCACCTGCTCCTGGGGCAGCACCCAGCCCCTTCTGCTCTGGGAGCCCCACTCACCGTACACGGACACCTCAGTGCCCTCTCCACGCTTAAACACCGAAACACCATGCACAGACTTCTGGTACTTCACGCAGTAATAGGTGCCGGCATCCTCGAGGCAAACGTCCCTGATGTGGATGGTGAAGTCTGTGTAGGACCCAGCTGCTGCCCTCGTCACACGGGGGAACGTGCTCGTCTGGTCGTAAATGGTCTCATTCTCACTGCCCCAGCCCTTCAGCCACTTCACAGGACCAATGGGACCATCTCCAGATATGGTGCAGGTCAGGGTGAGCGTCTCCCCCGCTGTCACTGACACATTGCCCTGGGGCTGATCTAGCTTGAAGTCCTGGGCACCGGTACCTGGGGGGAACATCAGACCACATCACATCTGGCACCGCACAACCGACCAGGTTCCCTTCTGCACCCCTGGGCCAGGCTGAGCACACGGCTCCGGGTAGTGGGGACCAGGGTAGCAGGGAGCCCAGGGCAGTGATTGCAGGTACAGAAGCATCAGACACCTCTGTGCTCCCAGCCAGGCAGAGCTGTGCCACTGAACCCCCGTGGTGCTCAGAGCAGCTCGGACACGAGGCAGTTCCCAGCTGCCGGCACAGCCGCTGTCTCCCATCACTGCTTCTAGAGCCGCACTCACCCGGGGATCTGTGGAGCAGCAGCAATGTCAGGCAGGCGAAAGGCAGCGTCCGCATTTCTGGCGCCGTGGTGCTTCCCATGTCCAGCTCCCGACGGCCCCGCACGGCTCGGCCTGGCCCGGCCCGGCCCGGCTCGGCTCGGCTCGGCGCTGGGCTTCCTCCTGGCAAAGAGGAAGGAAGGGACCCGCCTCTGTCCGAGTTCCCCCAGGGAGCCCTTGCCCAAGCCGCCGCCGTTCACCGCGGTGTTGACACCACCTCGTGTCACCAGCCTGGTCCTCGCCCGCGGTGCCGGTCGCGCTGTCCCCACCGACGTGTGCCGCGGCCACGGCACGGGGCAGGCAGCGACAGGGGCCCCCTCTATCGCGCTGCCCCACGCGTGGCCAGCCCGGGACGTCGAGAGGACGCCCAGAGCTCGCCCTTAGGACCGGGGCCCGGGCTGGGGTCTCCGGCGGGCTCCCGGTGCCCGCTGCCCGGCGCAGCCCGCCGCGGCTGTCCGGTGAGGATGAAGCCCGTCGGGGGTCCCCGCCCACCCCGGGGCCGGCACAGCTCGCTGCCGCTCGCTTCCATTTCCTGTGCCGCTTTTCCTCCTCTTCCCGCAGCTGGTGCCCATGGCCGGCCCCGCCGCCGCCGCCGCTCCGCTCCCTCCCGGGCAGCGCGGCCTCTCCCTGCAGGAGCCTTCGGGTGAGTCCGGAGCGGGGCTGCGGTTCCCCCCTCCCGCCCCCCAGCTGCCCCGTTCCTGCTGCCCGGGGGTCTGCGGGGAGCGGGGTTCCCTCTCTGAATGCCTTTGGGGCTACTGGGTTAAGGCCGGACGGGCAGCGCGGAGCCCCGCTGAGCCGGTGCTGGATGTAGTGAGGGGCTTTGACAGGAGGGTTTGGGGGGCGGGAGGCGTTCGGGGACAGGAGTCTGGGGGCAGAAAGAGCCTCGGGGCTGTGCTGGGCTCCAGGGCTGCACCTCCCTGCTCAGAGCCGGCTCCCGGCCGGCCGCGCACAGCCCCTGGTTGCGAAACCAGCTCCTCGCAGAGTCCCGGCGGTCCTGGTCCGTGGCACACAGCGCTGGGGCGTTAAGGTTTAACAGCACTCGGGAGCGTTTCCTGCCAGGAATTCCCCTTGGCTCCCTCTGCACCTCTCTGGACTCCAAGCAAGCACAGCAGCTCTGTTAACAGCACGACAGGGGATGCGTATTTGCCCGTTCTTGTTCATTTTGAACGTGGTTTCTGCCACTCCCGGCGCCTGCGGCTTCCTTCTCTCTGCCAAACCCTGGGATTGTTCTCAGTTCAGTTGCTGCAAACTCGGCGCAGTCTGGGGCTGCTCTGGGCTGAGAGGAGCCCCAAACCCTCCTGTCCTGTGCCCAGGTGCGGGTGCCCAGAAGGGTCAGAGCTTTCAGATGCATCAGCCCCAGGTGAAGCTGTGGGTGACAGCGGGGGAGACGCTCACCCTGACCTGCACCACATCTGGAGATGGTCCCATTGGTCCTGTGAAGTGGCTGAAGGGCTGGGGCAGTGAGAATGAGACCATTTACGACCAGACGGCCACGTTCCCCCGTGTGACGAGGGCAGCGGCTGGGTCCAACACAGACTTCACCATCCACATCAAGGACGTTCGCCTCGAGGATGCCGGCACCTATTACTGCGTGAAGTACCAGAAGTCTGTGCATGGTGTTTCGGTGTTTCAGCATGGAAAGGGCACCGAGGTGTCCCTGAATGGTGAGTGGGGCTCCCAGTGGGATGCTGCTCCCCAGGACCCCGTCCCACAGCCTCCACCCTGCCCGCTGCCTCGCACCCACCACCCTCTCTTGTTGTACCTCCGCAGAGGCAGCCCTGGCTCCCAGCATGGTGGCTGTAGCTGCAGTGCTGTGCTTCCTACTCCTCGGCTTCTTCATCGCCCTTTGCATGTACAGGAGGAAGTTCAGAAGCGAGGCAGAGAGCCAGGACCAGGCCAGGGCAGTGGCTGGAGGCAGCTTCTTGCCCATCCCTCTGCGGTGCTGTGCAGGGACCCCCAGCTCCCCCAGGTTTGTACTCATCATTCTGCACCCTGCGAACTGCCTTATCCACCTCCCTTATCCTGCCTTCCTCTCCCACTGGAGCAGCGGTTTTCCCCAGAAAAGCCCCTTTACTCACAGGCACATCGCCACCTCCCTTATCCTGCTGCAGTGTCTGAGCCCAGCCCAGGCCCACAGACAGCACCCTGGCCCTCTCTGCCTTTGGTGTGGGCATCGTGTGGCCACATGCTGCAGACCCCAGCTAAAGCTGGGGAAGGGAACTGAGGAAGGCTGGGTGTGAAGGGGCTGCGGCTGCCTTTAGCACTAACAGCAATCCTTCCCCCTCACAGCCAAGCCTTGGACCCAGAGACCTTCCATCTGCCCAGCCAGGTAAGAGCACACTGTGACTGTAGGGAAGAGCATCCCACGGTGATGCTCTGGCTTGTGGGGATTCCACCAGGCTCTGGGGCCAGGGTGGGCAATGGGTGGGCAGCAGCCACCACCATGGCACGATGCCATCCGTGCAGCCATAGTGCCACCATCCCGGCTTGCACCTGCCCTTAGGGTTACTTGTGGAAGCTTTCCCTTGGGACAGCATTCCCCATGCGTGTGCCCTCCCGCAGCAAAGCAGCAAGGAGGACAATGACATCCACTACGCCGATCTCCAGGCCCTGCCCGCAGCCCCACAGCACAGCAGGAGCCCCGGCACAGCCCGCTCCGAGTACGCCAGCATCAGGGTGGCTGCCAAGTGATGTGTGGCACCACAGGCTGCAAAAAGCCCGTTCTGGGGGAGGAAGCTGGGATGTTTCTGCAGGGCTCAATAAAGGAGAAGTGGATCTGTTTGCGTGGCACATCCCGTCCAGGCTTGCACCCTGGGCTCGGAGCTGCCAAAGCTTCCCTAATTCATTCCCACCTCGGCGGCGGGGCCGGGTGAGGTTCAGGCTGGATCTGCCCTGCTGGGGCTCAGCAGCAGCTCTGCCAGGACCCAGCAGCCATCTCAAGCACAGGATCAGGCCGTGAGGCTGAGCACCTCTGCCTTGTGCAGGCTGTTGGGTGCTGAGCCAGGAGGATTGTTCCCACCAGCAAGGGGCATCACTGGCACTTCCCCGGCTCAGCAGGTCCCTGATTTGTGTGACCTCTCCACACTGAGCCCCTCCTCATTAAAGCCAGCAAACAGCCACGGCCATCCAGTCCCGCTGTGTTCAGAGCAAACAGTGCTGGTCCTGTGAGGTCCGGGGACAAGGTGCCCCCCACAGCCCTGTGCCAGCTCGGGCTGGTTTTTGGGAACGCGGCTCATGGTGCTATGGTAGCTCTCTCTCCAACCCCTTCTCCCTGATCCATGCACATCCCCTGCTCCACCTCCAGCCAGTCCACGCACATCCCCTGCTGCAGGTACATCCGCTTTGTGCACATCTGCACCATGCACATCCCCTGCTGCAGGCACATCTGCTTTGCACACATCACCATGCACATCCCCTGCTCCATGCACATCTGCTTTGCACACATCACCATGCACATCCCCTGCTGCAGGCACATCTGCTTTGTGCACCTCTGCACCATGCACATCCCCTGCTGCAGGCACATCTGCTTTGCGCACGTCACCATGCACATCCCCTGCTCCATGCACATCTGCTTTGTGCACATCTACACCATGCACATCCCCTGCACCCTGCACATCCCCTGCTTCATGCACATCTGCTTTGTGCACATCTGCACCATGCACATCCCCTGCTCCATGCACATCTGCTTTGCACACATCACCATGCCTTGCACACATGCTTTGCGCACATCACCATGCACATCCCCTGCTTCATGCACATCTGCTTTGTGCAATGCACATCCCCTGCACCCTGCACATCCCCTGCTTCATGCACATCTGCTTTGTGCACATCTGCAACATGCACATCCCCTGCTCCATGCACATCTGCTTTGTGCACAGCTACCCTGCACATCTGTGCACATCCCCTGCTTCATGCACATCTGCTTTGCGCACATCTGCTCCATGCACGTCCCCTGCTCCATGCACATCTGCTTTGCACACATCTGCACCATGCACATCCTCTGCTGCAGGCACATCCACTTTGTCCACATCTGTTTTGAGCACATCTACTCCATGCACATCCCCTGCTCCGTGCACATCTGTTCCATGCACATCTGCCTTGTGCCTATCTGCTCCATGCACATCTGCTCAGTGCCCACCTCCGAGGGGAGCAGGCTGGTGGCCGTGTCTGGAGCACGGTGACCACAGGAAGCCCCAGGGTGCATGCACCATGCGGTCAGCACTGCACACCTGAGCGCACCCGGCGTCACACGCATGCCTGCACCCAGCCATGCATCGGGTGCTGCAGGGGAAGCACGCTTTTCAAGCAGAGGAAGGCGCTGCTGTGGCCGCCGTACCCTTGAAAGCTGCTGCAGCTGCCGGTTTCCAGTTTGATCGGCTGCTCACTTTTGGCTTGTGACACCAAAAGAGAAGTGAAACAAGACAGCATGAGCCCACAGCCTGCCTGTGCCCGGGGCAGCCGGCGCAGACCTCGGGGGAGAGCTGCCATGGGGCCAGAGAGGAGCCGTGGTTGGGGTTTGTTTGCATGCCTGAATCAGTGTCCCCTGCTCTGGGGAGCCTGACCTGGGACACACCCGGGAGGGGATCCTGCCCCTCTGCTGCGCTCTGGGGAGACCCCCCCTGCAGTCCTGATCCAGCGCTGGGGCAGCAGCACCAGAGGGACATGGAGCTGTTGGAGCAAGGCCAGAGGAGGCCATGGAGATGCTGCGAGGGCTGGAGCAGCTCTGCTCTGGAGCCAGGCTGAGAGAGCTGGGCTGGGGCAGCCTGGAGAAGAGAAGGCTCCTGAAGGGGAGACCTGAGAGCAGCTCCAGTGCCTGAAGGGGCTGCAGGAAAGCTGGAGAGGGGCTTGGGACAAGGGCCTGTAGGGACAGGCCAAGGGGAATGGCTTGAACCTGCCAGAGGGGAGACTGAGATGTGCTCTCAGGCAGAAGCTCTTCCCTGTGAGGGTGCTGAGGCGCTGGCACAGGGTGCCCAGAGAAGCTGTGGCTGCCCCATCCCTGGCAGTGCTCAAGGCCAGGTTGGACACAGGGGCTTGGAGCAAGCTGCTCCAGTGGAAGGGGTCCCTGCCCGTGGCAGGGGTTGGGGCTGGAGGAGCTTTAAGGTCCCTTCCACCCAACCCACACTGGGATGCTGTGATTATTCCCCAGGGGCAGTGAGGGGCCATGGGGAGGGGGGTATCGGGGTGAAGCCTTCCCCCAGCACCAGCTCCTGAGTGGAGCCAGGCAGTGACTCCCCTCCCGTCCCTGAGCAGGACCCGGGACTGCCCGGCCCCTGGAGGGGAGGATGCCCCAGCTCGCTGCGAGCTCCCCTCGGGATGGCGAGCGGGAGCATGTACCGCGTGTGGGTGAGCCCGAAAGCGGGGAGGGACCCCGCAGGCACGGGGCGGTGAAATTCATGGGGATCCGGGGCTTTGCAGGGTCAGGGC